AGCCCTCGCTGACAAACTCCACTTAAAGACGACGACGACTATGACCGCCGGGGACCGCGCCGTCGCTTCGATGCGCCGCCACACGTGCGCATTCGCCGACAGCTGCTGTCCATCGCCGAGAACCCCATGCGCGCCTGGCACGAGGAGGTTGCATCGATTGCGAATCTATTCACGGACAACTGGGACGATGAACTTCTCCGCGGTAACTTCGTGGATTTGGTACTGCAGCTCTCCCTCGAGCAGCCCCTGAAGACACCGTTTTTGGCTGCCGTGGTGCTCGTCGCCAATACGAACCGACCTGAGATTATGGACATGCTTCTCGCCAAGCTGACCGCCGGCATAGAGGCCAAGATCGGCGCAGGCGAGTGGCGCGATGTGAAGTTGTACCTGAAGCTTCTAGCGTGTCTGCAGAGCTGCCTGGAGGGGGACGGCGTCTTCCCGGTGCTGGAGGAGCTCTTTTCGAGAGCAGTGGACTTGCAGACGGCGAGCTCGGACGATGTGGGTTAACGTCTCGACGGACCGGATATTATCTTTGAGGCTGCTGACTTAACATGGATTAGACGATCGGAACGGAATTGGTCAAGATCATTCTGCTCACATTACCCTATGTCATGGTGACCTCCCCCGAGCAGTGGGCGCAAAAGGCGATGGACCTCATGGAGAAGACCGAGATTATTGCTTTGGAGCCACACGCCCTCCAGACTCTTGTCGAGCCATACCATGCTGAGACCGCCGAGGGTAACTCGAACCCATCACAAAGTCTGATCAAGCTGCTACAGACCCAGCTGCAGATCGAAGCGAATAACGGATGGTCGCTTTCCTTCCTGCCACGGCCCTGGGAGTTCCCCCTGAGCGAAGCGGAAACACAGACTAAGCTCAATGATGCGCTCAAGCATGCGCTCCCCAAGATCACACTCCCCCAGGCAGTTGTTGCTGGGCCACGACCACTCTTCCCAGAGGTATACTTCTCTGTCTGTGCGAACCAAGACGTTGAATCGGTCCCATCGGAGTCAAAAGCGGCGGCATCCTTGATCCGTGACGCCCTTACCGACACTATCAATATTCTCCACATCAACCGAAATGTGACGGCGCGCCATTTGGTTGAGGTGGACTGCTTCTTTGCCCCTCGCACCTTCGCTGCTAGAGCTACGCCCTTTGATCGTCTGCGAGACATCGAGCCGCCAAAGTCCACATGGAAGCCTGAGGATGTCGCCGTCGATGCCGTGTTCTCGCAGCTGTTCCAGCTGCCAAACCCAGAGCACAAGCTGGTCTACTATCACTCTGTTCTCACTGAAACTTGCAAGCTGGCGCCGGCTGCTATCGCACCAAGCTTGGGAAGAGCTATAAGATATCTCTACCGTAATGTCCACCGGCTGGACCTAGAGCTTGAGAATCGCTTCCTCGACTGGTTTTCGCACCATCTGAGCAACTTTGGCTTCACGTGGAAGTGGACTGAGTGGGTTGACGATGTTTATCTGCCAGACCTGCATCCACGAAAGGCGTTCATCAAGGGTGCCATCGACAAGGAGATCAGGCTCAGCTTTGCCCAGCGCATCAAGAACACCCTCCCTGAGCCCTACAAGGACCTCATCGGGCCTGAGATGGAGCTAGAGACGCCCGACTTCAAGTTTGCAAATGACTGTAAGTATGGATCAACCCCGTTGTGTTGTATCGTTCGTTCTAACGATGAGGCCAGCAACTCCCTTCGCGGTTGAGGGCCGTGAGATTGCACAGCTGGTGAAGAGCAAGGCGTCCGACGAAGAGATCCAGCCCGTTATCGAGCGTATCCATGCCCTCGCCCTCGACAACGACCTTGACCCACTTGTTGCCAGCACCGATGTGTTCGTAACCGCTGTCCTGCATGTTGGCAGCAAGTCCTTGTCGCACGTGTTGGCTGCTATCGAGCGGACCAAGGATCGTCTCACGGATGCCGGCGCCGCCTCTGAGGCGGCCCGCTCCCAGATCATCTCAGCCGTCATGGCATACTGGGCCTCTCATCCAGGAGTTGCCCTCGCCATCGTAGAGAAGCTCCTCAACTACAGCATCCTGACACCGGCGGCCGTCATCAACTGGGCTCTTATTACCTGCGGCGGCGCCACCAAGGGCGATGCCCTTGCGCGCGCACACATCTTCGAGCTCGTCTTCAACACTGTCATGAAGGTTACTGGCCGCGTGCGGCAGGTCGCTCAGAAGGCGGCCCAGCCGGATGTGATGACGGATGGCGACACGATGGATGCCGAGGCGCGCGGTATGCGCGAGCTGTTCAGAGCCATCGAGGATGCCCTTGTTTCGTGGGCGAGCGGGAACAAGGACGAGATGATTGAGATGGATATTGGTGATGGCGAAGGGAAGAGCCAAAGAGAGGCGCTTGTGCGTCGATGGGGCGAGCGCTGGTTGCGTGTGTATCGGCGAAGGGCGGCGATAGAAGAGGCGTTCCTGATTGAGACCAGCAAAAAGGTGGCTGCGGCAGACGGTGCGGCGGCGAATGGGGAGGCCGGGACTATTGCTTAGGTGATTGGCAAACTTGGTGACCGAATTTGGAGCATTGAGGAGGCACAATGGGGCAAGACATGCTGTATTATATTGTAGTGTATGGGTATGCCCCTGGGGGTTCAGAAGGGAGATTGGGGAAAATCCTCGGTTGAGGTCGATATTGGGCTGGACAGCATTCCTTCATATGCCGGTAGGCCATCAAAATAAAATTTAGAGCATTTATCGTCAGTTTACTGCATATTGAAAATATGGCGGCCAGGGTGTTCTGGGCTGTCAATCCGCTCACAATGCGCCTGTTGAACCATGTGTCCGAGTCACTTCCCGTTCAAATCTTGGCCGGCCCTTGCTTTAACATTGATTCAACCACCGATAGAACCTGGTTTCATCATGCACGCGTCGGTTTACCTTTGAGGCACGATCTCGATTGGAACTGACTATTCCGAACACAGGTCAAATTGAGATGTTGCAAACGCCCCTGTCGAGATACCCGCGATTCTTGTCCATAAAACATCAACATTGGTATCCCTGGAAAGTTCATGAAGAGAGTACCAATTTCGCCAGCTCTAAACGATGGTATATGATGGAAACATTTTGACCCAAAAGCGTACAACACCTCAACCCATATGTAACCCCTTGATCGCACATACACTCAGTCATCCCGATAAGACCCCTTTCCCAGCATACCCTCGCTGTGCCCACTGCGCTTCCTCTTACCCCATACCTCATTGACCCAGTCTGACAAGCGATACCCCCAATGGCCAGCGACGAGCGCGCCGCTGAGGATGTTGACGAGTTTGATCATAAAGACAAAGAAGCTATCGCGGGACTCCACGATGTTGAGAAGGATGGGTTCGATGTCATACTTGAAGAAGATGCCGGGGATGGTGCGGTCGCTTACCTCACGGCTCTGTTGGGTGACTGCGTACTGGTTGGTGACAATGGAGCGGGAGCCAAGGCGGGCGGGGTCACCGACGCTGTAGACGGTTGGCACGATGGACATGAAGTATTGGAACTTGTGGAAGTGCGTGGGGGTGGTGTCGACGGTGCCGTCGAGGGGATTTACGAGGGAGGGGAGGTAGGGGCCGAAGGAGAGCTCGGAGATGATGTGAGAGAAGTTAAAGGCTGGCAAGGGTTAGCATGACCCCAAGTTTGAGTGGGGAGATTGGCTTACCGCTGTGATCAAGATGTTCGCCGAACTCCATGTAACCGTGTCCTCTCGCGGTGATGTGGAAGTCACCCTGCACCTTGTTGAGCTCTAGACTGCCATAGATGCGGCAGCTATCGCCCTCGGAGCCCCAGAGGCGAGGCGTCTTGGCCCAGCGGCCCTTCTTGCGGCCAAGAGCCACGATATCGTGAATGTGCTCCTCGCCGAAACCTTCGTCATGCATGTCTTCCCCAGTGACAACCCTGCCGCTCTTATCCCTCCCGAGCTTGTGAATGCCGTAACCGTCGACCCATTGCGACCAGTTTGTTGGATCCCGCTTCAGCGCCGTCGCAGCGAGGATACGGTCTCCGGCGGCGTCCTGGACGTTTACGTGCAAGTCGGCGCACTTCATGCGGACTACAATGTCCATGTTGATGTTGAGGATATGTGATACGCCTTTCTCGACGGCGAAGGTGTGTGTCTCGTTACCGCGCCACCATCGGGAGAACTCCGTCCAGGCCAGTATCAGCGATACAATGACCATGGCGACGGTCCATTTCCCGCCGCCAGCTGTCCGCTGGACATATTGTGGTTTTGCTTTGGCTGGAGGCGCAACACGGTCAGCAAGCTCTACGGATAGGGACAGACACCAACAACTCTACGTACGGAATGCATCGAATGCGCTGACGATTCCCCCCTTTGCGCCAAAGGCGTCGTCATCCAAATCGTGCTTCTCGTAGCCGTTCATCATGGCTGCGGTTGGCGGGTGTCCTCACAGTGGTGAGATCGCCCAGCTCGAATCGGTTTTCTCAGGCCAGACCCGGCGAAGTGGGGTCACCACAGAGTGTAACTCTTCGTCCAAACCCCCTATCTTCCCATAAAAATCCCGAAAGGTGATGCGATCGCGGCCAGGAAGCAATTGCGCGTGGGCAGCAGTCTGGAAAACCGGTCGTGTCACAGGCGCATTGGCGAAGCTTGCTTGTCTTCGTCACTCCAAGGCAACGCAGCAGGAAGCCTCAGAGACGCAATGACGAGCAAGAATCAACAGCCTGGCAAGGAAGAAGAGAACAGCAAAAAGAAGGCCCGGGCAACTTGCTGGACTTGCATTGGATTAGACTTGATCTCAGCCGCCGTTCGCACAGCCGCGAAACGGGAATCTTGAGAAGTGGACAGCTTGAACAATTGGAGCACCCCTGTCCACAGGGCGGGCTGCGTGCATTGGCCGGGCCGGTGTTGGTGGGGCGCACGCCCCACACGTGCATCGCATGCCGGGCGGAAGTGGGTCCCCACCAAAACCCCTGAGTACGAACTGCCAGGTAGGAGAGTGAAACTCCCACATATTTGGGAAAATAAGGAAAAAGAACTCCCCGGGTAAGGCTTGAACTTACAACCTCCGGATACCTGCTACTCCTTTGAGATGGAAGGAACATAACAGTCCGACGCGCTATCCGGTTGCGCCACCGGGGATCGGTGAGAATTTGTTGGGGTTGGGGCTCTGAATCACCACCCAAGTCATCGCAGCTGCCTCATTGCAGTCTGTGGTCACAAGAGGCCACACTCAACTTGCAGCTGGAGGTTGTGAGAATTATTGAGAGAATTATGGCCGACGCAGATACACCAGTTCGGGATCGGAGCAAGAAGTTGGCGATTAAATGAAATGAGGCGGCCGCGCACCGAAGGTCAGCTGTTTGTTGATTTTGAGCCCCTGAATCCCCCCCAAGCGTCGCAATTGCTCTACGATGGTGTGCTTTGCTCGAGGAGAGGGAACAGTACGGCCTGCGCTAGTGCTTCAGCTAAGAAAATTAAAGCGACAGACAAGTTTCTACATTTTACAGCAATCCTTTCCCTATTTCTGGCCGCCCGGTCCATGCCCTCACCCTCCGATCACTCCCCTCTACGGAAGGATCAGAAGCGAAACCCCCACCAAGGAACGTAAGAATCTAGAAGGTCAGCTCCTATTATGGTCAAGGCCTGGATAAAACTTACAACAGCGGCAGGCCAATGCCAGCACTACCTCGCATACCCAAATCAAACAGTCCGACAAGCGCAAAGCCACCGCTGAACTCACCCAGCGCCTCAACTATAGTGACTCCTGCGAACGACTCGGTTTCGGCCTCTCTTTTCATTGCAAAGTGCACTACAAGCCCTTGCATCGCCGGCCCTAGCCTGCTCGACAGCGAGGAAAGAACCCGCCCCACCACAATAACCCCAGTGACGCCCGGCCGCACATGGCCACCAGCCCCGTCCCAGCGCAGGGGACAGCGACGCTACCTCTTACAATCCAAATATCTTGAGCCGACTTCTACATTCTCCACTTTTACTCCTTGTCGGCGTTCCCCTTGTCCTTACCCCCGAAGAACACGAAGTATGTTATAAAGTCTTGCCCGCCAAGAGGAAACAGGACCAACAGAAAGACAAAGGACTGGCTGCTAATCACTTATCGCGTCGTGGAGATGGGACACTCCAACTGCTTGGATGCGAACTGCACGAGGATGCGCCCCGACTCGCCGCAGAAGGTGGTGAGGAAGTAGGTAGGAGGAGCAGCCCGGCCTCCTTGCTGCGGACGGCAGTTGGGAAGGGCAAGGGCCGCTTCGCCTGTCTGGCCACGCTGGGTATTTCATGCCGAACTGCCATATCATCGCTTGTCCTGTTGATAGACACGGACTTTTGCCTCAAGGTCTCCGGCATGCCGGCCAAAAAGCCCGCCAAAACCACGACGTCGACTTGGTACGGACGCCAGATATCCAGGGATAACAGGAAAGACCCAAGGGGCCCGCCGACAAGACACAAAACCAGCATGGACGCGCTGACTAGGTAGAAGGCTGATGCTCTGGTTGTCTGGTCATTCAGTCTCAGAACGGAAAATTTCAGTGGGTGCCTACGAACCTCGAATGGTCTGGTGTCACGTCGATAGCCATCATGCTCACCACTACAGATATCACCTCTCCTCCCCTAATGACTATGAACATAAAGGAACACGTTATGGAAATAATAGACCATAACAATCCAATAGGCGGCCATCACCTCCCCCAACAGCCCCAGAATGAGAACCAGCTTCCGGCCGATGCGTGCCGTGGCCTGGCCTGGCGGTAGTGGAAGGTCAAGAGCATGCTCGGAATCGTAAGCGAACAACGCTTTGGTGGCCATGATGTGGGCGAGACGAGTTTGCATGTCGTCCACCTTACTTGACGCTCATCCACGCAGGAGAGGGGCGGTGGGCCTATGACGGACGGATCGTGCACTTAGTAGTAGTCGCAACAAGACCATCTCTAGGAGCCGAACTCCAGGCGTGCTCACCAGGGAGCTGCTGAAGCCGATTGGAGACTACTTCAACCTCTCCGTAACCAAACGCCTGTCTGCTGGGGCTGAAGCAGCATGGCAACATATACAGACGGCTGACACGACCAAGGCCCTCCTATGGACCAGTGCCAACTTCTTCCAGATCAACAGGGTCATCGTGTCAAGCCCGGAGCCAGGAGATGCCCAGGTTCTGACACACGTCTACAGACTCCATTGCTTGGTGAGTTGTGCTGGTGTTGTGGTCTGATTTTGCGCAAGCATGTGCTTTGGAGACAATGGCACGACCAAACCTCCGAGGCAGAGAACAGAGTTGGGATTGATACAGAGCCTGTGAGTGCAAATTGGTGCGTTTTCTTTCCCGCTAAGTGGTTCCTTCTCTGTTGTCTCGGGAGCGAAAACTCTCTCGAACCCAATGTACCTAATTCAGTTGTAGAAAAAGCAGATTCGACATGTTTGTATGACACTCTTGGGTACGGTGCGGTAAGCTTCCACTTTCCTCCGACGTGCGAGGCACCGTTGTAATTCAGGCCTAAGGGTCCTGCGATGGGAATGAGAAAGCGCGAGGGCCTTGGCGGGTTGATCCGCTGAATTGCGCACCAAGGAAAGCCACTAGCTAGAAAGTGGCGCACGCCACAGTGCTGCGCCACCCAGTAACATGCCCCGCATTCGCCCTATGGCAGGAGGGCGGTGCGCCCTACGAATGACGGACGTCTTCGCATTCTTTGGTGGGGTCCAGATTTTGAAGGCCTTATCACCCAACTCGAGATATTTTCCCAGTGTGCTGAGAAAATTAATCAAAATGGCAGCTCAAGCCCCGACAGAAGAGCTTAGCAAACTCAGCGGTGGGTGATCAACCGTATTTGTCGATGTGTTTTAGCTAAGACGGCAACAGTCAGTGACGCTGCTGCGAAGCCCACCAAGCCGGGCCCTGATACTGCGACGGCCACGAACGGGAACCTGAACCGCGACGACGATGATTCCGACGATGACGCGGAGAACGCGGCGGTAGATGCTGCCGCTACAGGTGCCGCGAAGAAAAAGAAAAAGAGAAAGCCCAAGAAGAAGAAGAAGGCCCCTACGGCCCAGTCCGACCCTCCCCGGGTGTTGATCTCCCAGCTGTTCCCGAACGACTCCTACCCCAAGGGCGAGGAGGTGGAGTATGTGAACGAGAACAGCTACCGCACTACCAGCGACGAGAAGCGCCACCTGGAAAACATCACCTTCAACAGCGAGTTCTTGACGGACTATCGTCACGCTGCCGAAGCCCATCGCCAGACTCGCAAGTGGGCGCGTGAGTTCATCCAGCCCGGCAAGGGCCTCACTGAGGTTGCCGATGGAATTGAGGACAGTGTGCGCGCGCTTGTTGGCCACTCGGGCCTGGAAGAGGGTGACGGCTTGAAGGCTGGCATGGGTTTTCCCACCGGTCTGAGCATCAACCACTGCGCCGCGCACTACAACCCCAACGCTGGAAACAAGATGGTCATCCAGCAGGAGGATGTGCTGAAGGTGGATATCGGTGTCCATGTCAATGGGCGCATTGTTGACAGCGCCTTCACGCTGGCCTGGAACCCCCGCTATGATCCCCTGTTGGATGCCGTGAAGGCAGCCACCAACGCCGGCATCAAGGAGGCGGGCATCGATGCTAGGCTCGGCGAGATTGGTGGCGTTATCCAAGAGGTCATGGAGAGCTATGAGGTCGAGCTCGACGGGACGTCCTACCCAGTTAAATCGATCCGCAACCTCAACGGCCACACGATCAACCATTACAGCATTCATGGCAGCAAGAGTGTGCCGATCGTGAAAAGCAATGATCAGACCAAGATGGAGGAAGGAGACGTCTTCGCCATCGAGACATTCGGAAGCACGGGCAACGGCTACGTGCGCGAGGAAGGCGAAGTATCGCATTATGCGAAGCGCGGTGATGCGCAAAAGGTCGATCTCCGCATCTCGTCGGCCAAGACGCTGTTGAACGTGATCAACAAGAACTTTGGCACGCTGCCGTTCTGCAGACGCTACCTCGACCGGTTGGGACAGGAGAAATACCTGCTTGGAGTAAGTGATGCGAGATACGACGGCTGCGGACACTGCTGACAGATGTCTAGCTCAATAATCTCATTGCCAATGGCATCGTTGAGTCTTACCCACCGCTTGTGGATAAGAAGGGCTCATACACGGCCCAGTACGAGCATGTGAGTAGCCGTTGCTGACGAGGAAAAGACATAATTGACAGACAGCCACAGACCATCCTCATCCGGCCCACGGTGAAGGAGGTTATCAGCCGAGGAGACGACTATTAGGGTCGCAAAATTGACGATATGAATGAAAACTATGTCGCACGATTGTTTGAGATCACAGTTGACGGGTAACGGGTCCGGTCAGTCGAGAGTCCATGTTTTGAAAGTATCCATCAAAACTACGGGACCAGCAACGGCCCAGCTCATGAGCCCATGTGGAGCCGAGGTGCTGCCAAACAGAGCCGGTCCCTGATTGAGTGCAACGGACTGAACAATCGAATTTAAGTGGTGTTGGTTATGAGGGCCATCCTGGTTGCTTCTTTGGAGGGCGATAACTTCGTCTGATCTTTGAAACAAATCTCTTGTCATGAAGCTTTGTGGCAATGTCTTCATTGGCCAACCCGGCTTCACCGATTTGCTCGCATGGGGCTATTGTGTACACCCAGCAATCACCTTGAGATTGGCAACAATGCGGCACGTCCGCCGGCTCACAGTGACAGCTGCCGGATGAAGACGGGACGATCTGCACGCCGATGACAGACGGTGACGGTCGGCAGCCCCCCGAACAGGTGGAGATGATTTCGGATGACATCTTCAGTGTTCTTACGGAAAGAATCGGCCTTGCTGATTGGACTGCGGGTCACAGGCCGACCGCACCGTTCCGAGGTGTTTTTCATGAGCCCCTGCGCCATCGCTAAATTGAGTTAGACCAGCGAGACCGTGAGAGGCGGGCGTCGCCACCTTTTCGCCTCCGATAAGATTTCGTGCCTGCGGGTCGAATCGCTTGCTTTTGATTGGCGCAGCTATTGGAGAAATCTTTTTGTCAGATCTGTTAAAAGACGCACGGCATCTTGCGCCTTCCCGAGTCCCTCCCGTGTTGGAAGTTCAAATCCATTTCTGCCGGCCAACGTCTTATTCACTCTCGCTCAACTG